GAATATAGTGTGTGTGTGTGTGTGTGTGTGTATATATATATATATATATATATATATATATATTAGCGGATTATACGCTTCATTTTATCTATACCTTTAAATATATATATATATACATATATTTGTATTTGAATACTGATTTACTAAAGGAGTTGAGAATCTTCACTCAATACATTGTAGCTGTGTTCACTTTAAATACCCAACCATGTGCAGATATAATACATAAACAGGAATTTCCGTTTCACGTGATTGATGATACATGAAATACATGTACATAATACATGATGACACCCAATTCTGTGCAGATGACATACACAGGACTTTGCTTTTTATATGATTGATGATATATGAAATGCATGTACATGACACAGGATGGTAACCAGTCATGGGCAAATACAATACATTTGCTTTTACATGATTGGATAAATGAAATGCATTCTGCTCAGTTTATTGAGTGAAGATTGTGAACTCCTTTAGAAAATCATCCCCAGGTTGTGGAATTTCTGTGAGTGCTTGTAGATTCATATAAGGTCTGTCGGGCACTCGCACAGGTTGGTACATTTCGGGGCTGATTTTCTGATGGAGTTAAGTGTCTTCAGTCCATAAATTGAGCACATTCCATTTCTCCAATCATAATATGATATGTAATGATATGATGATATGTAAGGCATGTGTGACATCAGAGAAGTGTCTTGTTGTCACCTGGCTATGTAAGGGTCAGCTGATTTGGATGTCCCTGCTCTCTTCCACAGTGTGGGGCCTTCTGACTTGATACATTGACATCCTCGCCTCTGTCCTGGAATGACACCAGTGGCTGAGCTGGACAAAAGGAGAACTTATCCAACGTCTGTCAATCGGAGCCCAAACCTGGATATCAACTTTCTTAGGATAGCTGCCCTTATTTCTTGATTTGCAGCATCAGCACCATCTCCATTATCTCCAATCTTCAGGCTGCACCCCCTTCTTCTATGATCTCCAGCTGGAAGAACGCTGCTCTTTTTTGATGATTCTGTGGAGTTCAGTGTCTAATAAAATTAAGAAAGGATTACTTCTCCGCCATGAAAGAGAAATCCAAAAACGCTGCCCGGACTAGACGGGAGAAAGAAAACAGTGAGTTTTATGAACTGGCTAAACTGCTGCCACTGCCCTCTGCCATCACCTCCCAGCTGGACAAAGCATCCATAATCAGACTGACAACCAGCTATTTAAAAATGAGAGTGGTTTTCCCCGAAGGTAGGTCATCATTATCCTTGTTTACTTTCCTTTCACTCCTAGGATCATCTGTTAAACCTTGTACAAATGTTCCTCTGTCTCTCCCCGCTTTTCTGAACGTCCCTGGATGTCAGCTTGTGGATCTGGCAGAGATTGTGCCAGCTAAACCCTTTGTCCCCGGTACAAGATATGTACTAAAATACTTTCTCTCTGCAAACTTTGCTGTATCCGACCTACCCCTTATGAGCCAACAACATCCAAATACTGCACCTATTATATTAACTTTTTAACTTCACCTGGTTGTCTTCGCCCAGCTTGCTTACCCGGTTTTTATCATTAAGACAAACTATCGAGCAATAAAATATGGAATCTGGTTTGCTCTTCATTTTGTCAGCGCTTAGTTGATAAAAATGAAGCTATTGTAAACTCCAAAGTCAGAGATGTTCCTAAAAGGATTATTAGCAATGATTTGTCAAGTCTCCCAGTCTCAGTAGGCTAGTTTTCTGCGTGATTTCCAGCAGATCTCGTCAATTATTGCTGCCTATGTAGCTGCTTGTTTGATCAGAAGAAGCATATGGTGCAGCTTGCAGGGCTGTGTCTAATCATGGAAGGAAAAGAATAGCAGCTCCCTGTCCCTGGGTGCCCAGAGAATGCCTCAATACACCTGGGGATAGCCTGGCAAAGTGCACCAGAGCTACACAGCGCACTCCAAAGACTATGCTAATTTCACACACACTGCACACCCAATTTCCATCAGACCCAGACAAGGCACTGGACAAGCCAATCATTCCTTTCCCCCTACTGCTTACTGGACGTCTTCTCCGGTCATTTGGCCATCAGCAAAGAATACAACAAATTGTAAATAGACAACGACAGCAAAATATAAAATAAGACTTAGCCGAAGATGTAGATAAAAACTGCGTATTTACTTTAGTCATAAAATAAATATATCAATGTGGATGCATAATGTACAAAAAAAATATTGCACCTTCCCTTCTATTAGCTGTCAGGTTCAAGAAGAATGTATATTTCGGTGCCTGGAGTGAGCACACGTTTGTATGACCTGTGACCTTCTTTAGTAATTCTCTCTATGTATTTATATGTTATAGATTATGGAAATATTCTCATTCGCTAAAATAATAAGACATACAGACACGAGGGGGTTTTAGCCTTGTTTATAGTAAATTAACTAATAATAATAATTATTATTATTACTATTATTATTGTTAATAATAGTAATAATTATAATATTATTATTTGTATTGTTATCATTCTTGTTAATATTATTTTTTTTAAATAAAATGTGTACCCTAGGGTAATGTGTGTATCAAGCCAGGCTGACAAACTACAGTTATGCTTCTGTGACATCTTGAAGCTGAGGTAGTAATTGAATTAGAGCAGCTACACTGAACTGTAATTATAAGGGAGTATACCATGAAATGTAATTATAAAATAACGGAGCACAAAAATTATTAACATACTAAACAGAATGATCAGTAAAAGTATACTTATAGGGGGAGTATAAATAGATTAGTATATAAAACGTCAAGCAAACTCTCTATCTATCTATCTATCTATCTATCTATCTATCTATCTATCTATCTATCTAT